TTATTTATAAAAAAAATTACAAAACACTGCAGTATTTGGGTGTTCTGTGCTTGTCGGTCTGAGATAATTAGTCTACCAAAATGTGTGTATTCCATACAAGCTGAAGCTAATTGGTCAGTTCTTGTCATGTGGCTAGAAAAGCGTAAAAAGTCTAGTACAAACTCTAGAAAACACAAGATATGAGAACGTCATTTGTGATCTTCAGCAGTTAATCTAGCACAGACATGGTGCATTCACCTGAATAGTTGTCAAATGGGTTGCGGATCTATTCTTTGGCAGTTCATGGGTCCTTCACTGGGCCTTTTCCCCTTTGCAAAGAAACATCTGTTTCTTACTTATTTTGCAGCTTGTAGGTTAAATTTGGCCGCTCAAGTGACAAATGTATGCTAAAGAATACGGTCATTTCTCAAAAAAAAAATAAATAAATAAAAGATCATTCAGACTCAAATAATAAATAGAACTGAAACAGTTAATGATTTTTTGTGCTGCCTTGTACCAATTAATCCACAAACTGATTCCAGTCCGCAGCCCGTTGATTGAGGACCACTGCTTTAGATGATGTGTTGGGTCCTACTGCACCAATTTTGGGAGTGTAGATAGATTTTAACCATTGGTCAAGTCACACCCATTCTCTATTGACTGACCAATGGCATAAGAGAAAAAGTTGCGATGGAAACTTTCTTTGTTCCTCTTGCTGGTTTTGAGTCAAGACAGGCAAACGTTATCATAATTTAAAATTACACTAAGCATACAATTTATCATCATACCTTCTAGATCATGAGTTTAATCTTTTAAAAACACTGTTGTAATTCATTTAGCCATTAAGCATTGTTCTTATGATGTTTTTTTTTTTTTTGTACAGGAAAAAAACAGTTCACCCTCTTGTCATGAAGTTTAATATTAGCTACAGTTGAAACCAGAAGTTTACATACACTGTATATAAAGGCACATAAACATTTTAAGTTAGGTTATGCTTAATAGCAGAATAATGAGAGATATGTTTTGAAAAATTGTTATAACTTCTTGAAAGTCAAGTTTACATACAATAAGATTATTGCGCCTTTGAAAAAGCTCAGATGATGATGTCAAGGTTGGAAGTTTCTGATAATTTACAACATTTGAGTTAATTGGAGGGACAATTGTAGAATAGTATTCAAGGAAAACCTTAAACACACTGCTTTCTTTTGTGACAACGTGAGAAAATAAACAAGTCACAATCAACAAAAAAGCCAGATTACAATTGGGTAAATTAAATTTGGAAAATACTCATTTTTGGAGAATTTTCCTGTGGTCTGATGGAACTAAGATTGAACTGTTTGGCCATAATGACCAGTGTTACATTTGGAGGACAAAGGGGAAAGTTTTCATGCCTAGGAACACAATCCCATCTGTGAATTATGGGGGCAGCAGCATTATATTGTGGGGCTGTTTTGTTGCAGGAGGGACTGGTCCACATCACAGCATAGATGGCATCATGAAGAAAGAACATTATGTAGAAATACTGAAGCCATCACAAAGCCCTGATCTCAATCCTATAGAAAATTTGTCGGCAGAGTTGAAAAAGCTTGTGCGAGCAAGACAGCCAACATTTGACCACAGTTATACAGTTTAAAAGCAGAGTTAAAAAAATACCAAGGGAAAGCATGTAAACTTTTGACTGTATAATTATGAATAAAATAATATAAAAAAAATATTCTCTTATTAATCTGGCGTTTAGCAAATGTAAATCATTTAGGTAATCCTAATGGACCTAAATAGTAAACATTTGGTATGATTTAACACTAGACATTTTTAAAATATGGTCATGTTCTTTTTTTTAGAGTGTATGTAAACTTCTGGTTTCAACTGTATGTGCACCGAAACCATCTTTTGTACCAGGCAGTAAAAATGTTTTTATCAGCTGTAAAATAGACTAATTTAGCACTGCAGTCAGTGAACATCTGGAGTTTCTGGAGCCAGCCCTCAAAGGCGAGTCGATGAATTGTAGTTTCAGTTATTTCCATATTGGCTTCACATGGGAGAGCAGCATGTTGCTGCTTGGGTTTGACATATCAGCTAGTTCTCATCCTGGATCAGCAAACGTGCAAAGGACTGAGCCAGGACGACCCGATTAAACTAGGTCAAGCTGCATTTTTTCTTTAATCCTGTCTTTCTTGATTCCACTTTTGTGCAATACGCCTCTGATGTCTTCCCATTGATGCTTCAGATTTTAAGGTCTCTGCACAAATAAGGATTGACAAGGAATAAGTGTCATCACATGAGCGAATGTGATTGGCAGTCCTGTGAGCCAATTGTGTTAATAGTGTTCCGAAAGTAAACGGTTCCTAAATTTGAAGTGAGAGAGAGAGAGAGAGAGAGAGAGAGGGAGAGAGAGAGACAGACATACAAACGGTTTGTAACAAATCCTTATTATCGTCATTGATGTATGCGTTTCACCCATCTCAGAGAGTTTCTTCAAGTGCTGCTAATCCATCGGACTGTTTTTGGATTGTGACTCATTCACAGAAACGAATATGGCAGGATAATGTTATTAGTTTTAAAATCTCTCCAAGTCTCAAAATAGGAGTGACAACCATACCCTAAAACGCTGATAGTATAACTTAAGATTTGACATTTACCGGATTAAAATTGTAGTTGTATAATATTTACTTTCATAGTTGTGACCAGAAATGTATATTATTGGTGAGGTTTTTTGTGACCTCTCTGTAAAATACACAATTTAGTAACAATGTGAACATAAAACATTTATAAATTATTATTGAACAAGTAAATTTTTTTTTATTAAAGTACAGTGAATTTTAACCTATTATTTATTGTCGTTTTGCAGTAAGCTTTTAAAACGAATGCGGTTTTAATATATTGAAAAATATTTGTTAAATAATTTTACCGTTATTTAAATAAATTTTTAACTTGTATTATTTAAACGTATATGTACCTTGTTATTTCATACTGTATGTTTGTTAACTTTATAACATTAAGTTTCATGTATGATATTACTTGTATAATTATTACTGATTGATCAATTGAACTGAATTAACCCATTAATTTCAGCTTAGATTAAAATGTGAGATTATTATTTTTTTACAGTAGAATGGGTTATCCAGCCATTTATTTTTATTATTTTATTTATCACATAATGTTACATAAAGTAGATTAATCATAAGCTAAGTGATAATTTAATATTTACTTATGTAGAGCAAACACACACAAACAAACACCGAAACACATACATGCAGTTGTCAGGGGCACAACAGTCAGTGATATGTTTTCCTTATCAACGTTTTCCTTATTAGCTAACAACATATTCAAATTAATAAGGAACATCCCATAAGATGCCTGATATGAATCTTACTTAAACAGTTGTCAGGGTGTTGGGTAACAATCAGTGGATGTTTCCCTTATCAACACACATACACACACAGTTAGCTTAACTTATTTATATGCATTCATTTGTTTTCTTTTGGCTGAGTCCATAATCAGCGACCTTCTTGCTGTTAGGTGAGCCGCCCTGCCACCCTACCAATTTATATGCACCCTTTATAAAATATACAATTTAATTAGTTTGAATACATTCTAATTATCAGAATTATGATGAATTAACCTGATTACAATCTAATTACCAGAATTATTATATATAATTTAAACTGATAATCTAATTACCAAAATTCTAAAATATATAGGATTTAAATAGATTGGTAGTAAGAATCGAATTACCAGAAAGAATAAACTATATATATATATATATATATATATATATATATATATATATATATATATATATATATATATTAAGGGTGTCACGATCCTCCAAATTCTCGATTCGATTACATTTTCGATTCTAAAGGCACGATTCGATTATGAATAATTAATTAATTAATGACCAATTAATTATTTGTAGCCTACCGTTTAAACTACCTGACCTGGATGGTCTTTGTTTTACCCATAAACAAATCATACAGTAAATGAATAAAGGCAAGTTACACACATAATTAACACCTGTCAATCACTTTTCCTGGGGGAATCGTGAATAGGCAGTGATTTGTGTCGTTATAATGGCGTCTGTAAAAAAGACGCACAACCAACAGGAACCAGCCAACAGTATCTGAGGTGTTCGCTAAAATGACTAAGTACAAGTGAGTGAAAGATTGAAGCAGTCATCTGACTGCCTGGACCTGCTGTCTCGAGGGCATGGATGTGTGTGCGTCTGTGTCTGTGTGGTCATGTGATGTGCATTTTCAGAGGTAGTGAGGAAGGAGGGCTGCTCAGAAATGCTACACGCCACTGTGGATGTCAAATCGTTGTCGTTCTAAAAGTGTAAACAGGACCTGAGTGTAAAGTGTAAACATACTTTTCGCGAGCGGATTTGCAACGGGGGCGGGCGGAGGATCGCGATGCCGGTGTTGTCTATCGGACGAACCGTACGTAATACGTACATAGCAGAGCTAGCAAAACTGTGTTTTTTTTTGTCGACAACACGAACGTTGTCAACATAACTCACTGGAAATCCAAAATGCTTACACACCGGCGACTTCATTGAAAGAGGAGAGGGTTTAAGTTCTGTCGACGGGTCTCCTGCTTCTGCAGTTTAACAAGCACTTCAACAAGCCTGTTTTTTTCCCGCTTTGCAAGCCAAGCTGACGTGACATGGGGCGTGGCAGCATCGACGATTCTATTTTTTGATTCGATAATCGAAATTGAGAATAAATTTCGATCGATTTCGATTAAAAATCGAAATCGTGACACCCCTAATATATATATATATATATATATATATATATATATATATATATATATATATATATATATATATATATATATATATATATATAAATGGATGGGGTGTGACCTAAGTCATTTATCAAATTTTGACAGTAGCAAAAAAACATATTAGCTACTATAAATTGTGTATCTTTTTTTGAAACTTTAATTCCAAGCCTATGTTACAGCTTTCCCTCTCCCACCTGCCCAACAACAAACAAAATTGCAGTTATAAATAGAAATTAAATGAAAACAACTTTTATTCATATGAAATGGGCAAGACAGAGAAAAATCCACAATTAAATTAACAGTGAAATCAAATATGAGCTGTGTAGCATACAGCCGCATGAGCCCATATCTCTTTGATAAAACATTTACAGTAGCACTTTTACATTGGCATATTGCAGAAAGGCATCAAAATGTGAAATCCCCTAATAGCAGGAGTAAGGTCAATGGACATTTGAGCATAACCTGCTCGAGTACAAAATTTTATTTGTTTGATACACACAACTCTTAAGTCTTCCTATCTCGTATACTAAACAGTACATGCCCAAACATTAATGCAATACACACAAATATCTCTGGAATGTTGGTCCAAGGCTTTTGCATTGTTTTAATAATATCACAGTAGAAAACAATCTTTCATCCCATTCGCACAGTGTATTCAGTGTAAAAATAACATGCTCAGTGCATCTATACACGTCTAGTCACGTAGCCAAAAAAAGGAAAAGCAGCACTACAAGACAGCATGTTATCAGTAGTAAAACATTGATTATTTCTGTGATTACTACTGAGCTGTCAGTAGACAGTAGCTTTCATGACAGCTAGACCTCCCCTTTTTGGTCCTCTTGAGTCTTTTGTGCAGAAATTCTACAAATAAGCTGAAACTGAATAAACTGTTGAAATTCTGAATTTCCATTTTGAATAGGAATACAACAGGAATACAGTAAACCCACAGTGACTTAAAATAACAGGCAAGAAAAATGAACAATTTTCATGGACTGTACCATCAAATAACCGGTTTGGCTACAATGTTGTGCTTAGGATTAGATTAAGTATCTATTTTACAGCTGGCACTTCATGAGCTTTGCTCAACAAAGAGAAGTAAAGAGGTAAAACATTGGAGAAGGTCCACCATCTACACAGTGTCTGTTCAAAGTTTTCTTCAGTGAATCTGTGTAAAACCTCTGTTTTTTTACAGCAATTTCTGCTATACTGTACATAAAGTAGTATTGCGGAATAAAAATAGTGCTTTAATATGACAATGTTTAAAAGCCATAAAATATTTATACCTATAACATGATTCCAGTGTTTGTAAGGTCATTTCTTTTAATAAAGTCCTGCAAATGAAAAAAAAATAAAATAAAAAAAATAAAATAATAAAAAACAGAAATCAGTTACAAATAATGTTTCCTGTGCAGTGAGGCACATTTTTACCTTTTGATCCTCTGAGCTTGTACTCATCCATTTTTGTCAGTCCCAATATGGTAACGCTTTATGTTTGTATGGTTATATGGAGGTCAGAGGCAGATGATATTGTGCAAGCTATTTTTTGTTTTGTTTGTTTATTCCCGCAGACTATAGACCTTTGATGATTATTTAGATCCATGCAATTTGTTGATTAATTTTCTAAGATCATAAATAAGTTATTTTTACTGAAATAGTTTTACTGCACTTAAATCACTTAATGGTGAAGTCTAAGTTCATTTGGAGCTCAGTATTAGTGTTTCACTCATTTTATGAAGGGTGAGCCACAATGTGGGCCATCCAGTTGACTTTGGTGGTCCAACTCTCTCGCAGAGCTTCATCAAACTTCTGCCGGAACTGTTTGAGGGCCTCCTCATCAGTTTTGCCTAATGCCAGAGAGTCCTGGGAAAAAAAAACACAGGTGAAATGTTCAGACAATTCTGTAATGTTTAAAAAGTTTTGCTTTATGATACATTGAACAGTTCAATCTATTGTTAAAATGTGACCCCCCCCCCTCTTTTTTTCCCCTGACTTTATCCAATTTTTGCAGTAAACAAAAAAATAAAAGCATAGTACTTGTCATATATGTTTATTAAATACAACAATAGCAATACAAAGTACATCTATACAAGTGGAAACAATATAAAACAGGAAGAATAGAAATTTTAAAAGCAATAACAACAAATCTAAGTAAAGGAATATCTATATTATTAACTGTATATACTGTGGAACAGTGCAAGTTTTTTTTTTTTTTTTTTACATGTCTCTATATGAGTCTATTAACTGGACTAAATATCTAATTTAAATGATAATTAAATGTGGTGGCAAATCTATCCTTAATAATGTGATCACTTAAAATATGAAGTCATTGATTGAGTGTGTAGTATTTTTTTCTTCATGAAACCCAAAGGTAGACAGAGAGGTTTTGTGTTCTTTAAAGAGATTAAAGGTATGGAAGGGCAGTGTTTTTATAGTATCTGAAATCTGATACGGTTAATATGTATCATCTTTTCACAACTGATCTAAAGATCAACAGGGCAAAAATCCTGCATGTAAGTGTTGTGATAATAAGTGTTTTTTATTCTGTGCAAATCACAAGTCCCATTTTAAAAAAAGTTGCGTGGCATAACCTGTTCTAAAAATATTCTTTGACATGATAGGTAGTCATGTTAAAGGTATTTCTGCACAGCAGTTTCTAATAAACCTGAATTGTGGTGTTGTAAACATCTCCCAGTGTTCCACTCATACTTCATTTCTGTTCATATGATTTGGAAGAGAACAATTTGCAGTTGAGTTTGACAGATACATTATTATTCACATAACTTTGTATGGAAAAAGCGTATTTCTTGCATTCGGTTAAAAAGTGTGTGAAATGTGTGTGCAATATATACAGTTGAAGTCAGAATTATTAGCCCCCTGAATTATTAGCCCCCTTTATTTTTCAATATATTCTGTTTAACGGAGAGAAGATTTTTTTCCAACCCGTTTTTTTTTTTTTTTCTAAACAATTTTATACAGCTTAATGTAACATTTAAAGGCGTAACGAGGTCAATTAGGTGAACTAGGCAGGTTAGGGTAATTAGGAAAGTTATTGTATAATGATGGTTTGTTCTGTAGACAATCGAAAAACATATAGCTTAAAGGAGCTAATAATTTTGGCCATTAAAATTTGTTTCAAAAATTAAAAACTGCTTTTATTCCAGCTGAAATAAAACAAATAAAACAAATAAAAATTTATACAGATGAAAAAATATTATCAGACATACTGTGAAAATTTCCTTGCTCTGTTAAACCTTATTAGAGAAATCTTTAAAAAAGACAAAATATATATAATTCTGACTGAAATATATATATATATATATATATAATATATATATATATATATATATATATATATATATATATAATATATTACATATACACACACACAATGTTGTATTTGCTTAATACTTTGATTACCTTTAAATACTGTATATCTTTGACAGACGTGAGCTCTGGTAGGCCTGCGGTGAGCATGAGAGCAAAGAGTGTGATGAACAGATTTCCATTCTTTCTCAGAATCATATATGCCTCCTCACAATATTGCCTAAAACTACACACAAAACAAGCACATTATATACAGAACATTAATCAAGGATTTTATATATATTTTATATATATATATATATATATATATATATATATATATATATATATATATATATATATATATATATATTGTGTGAGAGCGATATGCAAAATGATGAAATATGCTTAAGGATGTTTGTTACTAACTTTCCAAATTTCTCTGTGTTGCCTGTTTTTCCCTCTTGAATCACGTGGATGAAGTCATGTGTGAGGATGAAAGGAACACGTTCCCGCTTAATCCCAAACTTAGACTTAAAGTTTCCCAGTATGTGCCCAAAATCTATGTGGAAAAGCTGAATTACAGACAGACAGACAGACACTACGTTAGTATATAGCATTTTATTAGAATGACATTTTAGAAGACTACACATTATGTGGGAAAACATTAAAATGGCTTCATATATACAGTAGTTTTCCAACCTACCTGCCCTGTACTGCGGACCATTATGTTGTCACTGTGGCGATCACCAATGCCCAAGACATAGGTGGCAACACAATAACCAGCACATGATAGAGTGAACTCCTCAATGGCTTTGTCCAAAGCATCCCTGTTAAAACATCATGATGCCAATCAGATTTGAAACTATTTTTAATAAGAAAATGCGTAACCCTTTAGAATAACTATCCCTTATAAATGACTTGTAAACTGTATTTTAATGATTTTTAACTATACCTAATATATTGGTAATTGATCATGAACAAGCTGTTAGTAAATTACTTACTAAAGACTTGTTAAGTATCAGTTAATATTTTATATACGTTATTGGGACGTTTTTCTAAAGTTGCAAACATTCTTCATTTATTAACTGTTAGTAAATGAGGAACAGTTGCAACTTTAAAATAACGTCCCAATAACATACATAAGCTGATAACTAACACTTAACTAATATATTAGGTCCCACTTTATATTAAGTGGCCTTAACTAATATGTACAGGAATTGATAGTTTTTACAATGTACTTTTTGTATATATGTATTTACTGTGTACTTAATATTGATTAAATACATGTATGTAATTACATCTGTAATTAACTTTTGTTATTACATTTGTAAATACACAGTTGACCATCGCTTACACCTTAACCCATCCTTAAACGTACCTATGCCACCAAACCTGTCCATAACCCAACCTCTATCCCAACTCAAAAGCGCCACAAGTGTTCTCAAATACATTATAAACACAGTTAGTACATTTCATTAATTTTTTTATGTAAGTACATAGTAGATAAGCACGCTTACTATAAAGTGGGGCCATATAGTAGCTCACACTTTACAGATCAGTCGTTTATAGTTTGTTTACCATCTACTAATACCGGTGAAACTTTTGTAGAACTTTTTTAATAAAAGATTTTTTTTATTTATTTTGTTTTCATGTTTAGCACAAAAAGTGCCCAAACCTCATGGGTTTGTATTCTGTTGTATACTGCTGTTCTGCCATGTGATGGCTCAGTATGTGTGTTTCTAAACATTAAACACAACGTTCAACATTTCATCTGTGAAGTTTCTGTGGTTAAATACAGCACACAGAAAAGCCTATGAGTGGAACAAGGTTAAGGTACAAAAATGTCATTTGTTAAATATCACATCAATTTTTTGCAGCTTGAACTTGTTCCATCCATTTGCTGTTCTACAAAGTTTCACTGGTAAGATGGTTAACAAACTATGAACAACTGATAAAATGTGAAGTTATGTATGTTATTAGGACGTTATTCTAAAGTTGCAACTGTTCCTTATTTACTAACAGTTAATAAATGAAGAATAGCTGCAACTGGAATAATGTCCCAATAATGTATATAACCTATTAACTGATGCTTAACAAGTCTTTAGTAAGTAATTTACTAACAGCTTGTTCATGATCTATTACTAATATATTAGCTATAGTAAATCATTAAAATACAGTTAACAAGTCATTCATAACTTGTTAACTAACAGCTTGTAAGTTATCTTTTGGCACAGTTTTAAATAATAAACAAACTATTAACTTTAGTTAAACAAATCATTTATAATTCATTAACTAACAGTTTTTAATGATCTATTAACTAGTTAAAATGGATAGTTATTCTAACGTGTTACCAGAAAATGGCTGTCATCCCCTGTGAAAACTTCTTACTGCATGTGATGGCAATCTATTAATTTGCCAATTTAATGAATAAATTGTTGATAAGAGATAAGTCTATGGTCAAGATATTTGAAGCTGCTTTGATTTGCACAATCTACTTTAGCATTAAAATAAATACAGTTAAAAAGTTAATAAATACTGATAATTTTACATTTATTCATTTAGCAGACTCATGTATCTAAGTGACTTACAAGTGAGGATAAAAGAAATCATCAATTTATAAGAGAGGTCATAGTCTACTACAGGTCTAACGTACCCAGAGTTTTTATCTTTAAGCCAGTTTAGCAGAGCGTCTTTATTGAAGGCGGCAGCAGCAGCCATGTTGCTGCTTGTTTTTTGGATGTTCGCAATGGTGTCAGCTGAAGATACTACCTCGATGAGTCCAGAATGATCTCCTGTCGCCAAGCAACCATAAGGCACAATTCTACAAGACATAAAAAAAAAACAATTTGAAATGATCTCAGAGAGCAAAATGAATAGCTGCATCACATAAAAATATCTTAATTCATTAAGACCGATCCCTCTTTACAGGTGTTTGAGAAACTGACACATGCAATACTCTAACTCATTGCCATATTTACACATTATTACCCATTCATCTCACCTATTACATTTCTGACTTATGCTTAAAACATGGCCTGGTATATTCTCTCTAAGCAAAAAACTAAATTGTGAAGATGTTTCATACATCATCCTTATTGTGTAATTTATAGAAAGACACTCATATTTAAAATACTTTGGAAAATGTTTTGATTTAGCTGTTGTGTTTGAAGTGTGTGTTTATTTTTTTTTGAATGGCACAATGAATTTTCCAAGGCTCCAAGTAATTGTTTTTTTTGTTAATGTGCCTATATATATATATATATATATATATATATATATATATATATATATATATATATATATATATATATATATATATATATATAAACAATGATTATTTTAAAGCAGCTTACTCTTTTGTATATAATGACTCAGAATTTAGTAGACAGCCAATTTTATATAGCTGGATGACACACACAAACGAACAAACGAACGAACGAACAAATAAATAAATAGAAATTTGCAAAGTATTGAAAACGCAAAAAAAAAAAAAAAAAAAAAGTAGTGATTTGAAACATTTTCTTATCCATTCATGTCATTCAGACCTGCAACACATCGCAAAAAATTGGGAGAGGAGCACTTTAAGACTATTAATCAGGTAAATTGGTTAAATAATGCAATTTGAACGTGGTGATGCCAACATGTGACTTTAATTATGAAAGAATTACCAAGAAAGGTCTAGTCCTTTAGGAGCAAATATGGGATGAAGATCACCAGTTTGCCAACAAATACGTGAGAAAATTATTAAAATGTTTAAAAACAATGTTTCTCAAAGACAGATAGGAAAAAATTGGGATATATTTCTTCAAAAACATAATTACAAAATTCAAAGAATCTGGAGGAATTTCAGTCCGTAAAGGACAAGAGTGCAAGCCTACGCTGAATAACTGTGGCAGCAACTGCATCAAGAATCGTCACTCATCTATAAGCGATATCACCACATGGGCTCAGGAATACTTTGGCAAATCTTTGTCAAGTACCACAATAGCAGAATCAGAAAGAACTTGACAGAGCCTCGACAGTGCAACAGAATAAAAGAGACAGTATAAAAAGCATAAATATATTTTTAAAATAAAATTAAATAGTGAATGGAAATATACAAATTGACAACCATATGTACAGGTATAATAATAATAATGATGATAATAATAATAATAATAATAATAATAATAATAATAATACATTTTGTTTAAAGGTGCCTTTCTGGCAACTCAAAGACACCGTATAATAAAACAAGAGCAATAAAACAACAAGAGAAATAATATAAAAAATATACACAGCAGTAGTGCAGATTCAATTAAGTATTAAAAGCCATCTTAAATAAGTGGGTTTTTAGTCTTGATTTGAATAGTGTAAGGGAGTCAATGTTTCTGATGGTAGGTGGTTGTGAGTTCCAAAGCCAGGGAGCAGAGCAGCTGAATGCTCTGTTGCCCACACTCTCAGAAATAAAGGTATGCAAGTGGTCACTAGGGTGGTAACTTTTCAAAAGGTACACATTTGTACTTAAAGGGTCTATATTGGTACCTCAAAAGTATATATTAGTACCTGAAAAGGAACACTTTTGTACATTTAAGGCACTTGTATGTACCCTTGAGGTGTTAATTTATTTTTAATTATTTTATTATTTTTGTATTTTTTTTTCAGGGTTTTCACCTTTAATGGACAGGCCAGTAGAGATTATTGACGGGAAAGCATGGGCAGCAGAGAGAGGGGTAGTATCGGCATAGGACCGTGAGGCAGGAATCGAACTTTGTGAGCCGTGAACACAAACACTTAATAGCAAGTATACACAAAAAAAAAACGAAAAAAAAATATATAATGATAATAATAATTAATAATAAGCATTGGTTAACTACATTTCTTACGTAACCAAATTGCTTCAGGCACAAATGTTAATTTATAATGTTTTGCGGAACATCTTATTGTTGCCTAAGGGGCATCCACTCAAAATATCTGCTCAAGGGGTGTGTGCCATCTCCTAGTATTTTATGTGCCATCCTCAACACCAGCTGTTCGTAATAGTATGCAAGACTTCGTAGGTGAACTCCTAAAATTAAGTACAAATTAACAATGCCTTGAAGATGATTCTTGTTTTTTATAGACAGAGAAGAAAACCAGCAAATAAAGGAAAAGGACAAAATACTTTCAATAAATTAACTGTAAAAGGTCTTAAGAACTTAACTTTCTCTATGTTAAAAGAGTTTAGCTTTTCCGCAATTAAAACAGTCTTTGATGAGCCTTATTAATAATTGTATGTGTGTTTTGATCAAATTTCAACCTGTTGTCAATAATTGTTCCTAGGTATTACTTCACAACATTGACCTGTGTGACATTTATGACCACGCTTTGGAGAGCAGGGGCCTCATGTACGAAGACTTGCGTGGAAATCATACTAAAACATTGCGTGCGCCGAATCCCACGCATATTCTTTTGTACATCCGGATGAACGTGAAACTGAGTGCAACATGCACGAGCACAAAACCCCTCCCTGCCTCCTCCCCCGTATGAATATGCTAATGACTCTACTTTGGCAAAACCCAACGAAAAAGTAAAGGCAAAAGCAAGCAAGAAGAGAAACTTTGAACAGAATGTGAATTGGAGGTGCTCCTTTCGGAGGTAGACAACAGGGAAACAGTGTTATTTGCAAGTTTGTCCTCCGGAATTAACAACAAAAGAAAAAAATAGAGTGGGGAGAGTTTAGCTGATGCGGTTAACACAGTTGAGTCTGAACATCGCACTGTGTAGATTTAAAAAATAAATTGTGCGATGTAAATGTGTAAAATGTTGTAGTACCCTTAACACTCTCAGTGGTGCAGCTGGTAAAACGCATGTCAACATGTTTTGACACATTCAAGCATGAACTCGGTTCGAATCCAGCATCTGATGAACTCATCCTTCTTTTTTTCCCAGCTACATATCAGATTTTGCCTACTATTTATCACGAGAAAGACAAGTAAGAATCATTAATAAGTTTGTGCATCATATTTTATTTGCACATTTATTGAATGGAAATGTTTCTGATTCACGCATGCAAATTCATCTTCAGATGGTGTCTTTATAGCAATGTGCGTGCAGTAGATCGCTCAGATTACATTGGGAAAACAGGCGACTGCTGCAAATTGTGCTTTAATGTTTGGCTGGTCAGCTGTATGGTATGGAAACCTTATATACCTGCTAGATGAACCTGTCTCATACAGCTGCCATTGCAAGCCTCAAAGACACTTTGTAGAGTGCAATTTAACACAACTGCCTCTAGGAGTCGCCAATGGAAATAAAACAGACACGCACAAAAACTGTGCGTACGCCAGCCATGAAGCTGGCGAGGAGGTGCACACATTCCCACGTTCATTTCATCGTTAGTAAATCCAAACGTGAGCGATTCTGAGCGTAAAACCTGGCATACGCAAAGTTTTTGTTCGTACGCAGCGTTGATACATGAGGCCCCAGGTGTTCTTTGTTTTTTTTGCCAAAGTTAATGAGCATTTCTTTGGTTTTTGACACATTCAGGTCTAGTTTCATTTTATTGCACTATGAGACAAAATTAAGCAAGACTTGACCATAGCCCCTTTCACACATACAGAGCTTTCCGGAAAATTGCCGGCAATTTTCCGGAAAGGTTGTATGTGTGAACAGGTCCTTTTTGAAAATACCGGTAAATTCGTTCTGGCTATTTTCCGGAAAGAGAAGTTGTAACATTACCGGCAATTTGCCAGAATGCTGCGCTGTGTGAATGCAGAAGGAAGATTACCGTAATAAGCGCGTGCACGTCTAGAACGTGCTGACGTGAGACGTCTGCTTTAGCCAATCACAACAGTCAGACGCATTTACGTCCGCGCGGTTTGTGAGGATAAAAACCTTTGAATATTTTTCCAGACACATTTAGCTGCTAGAAGTTAGTCAGATCATGTTTATATGTTCTTCTTAATGCCAACTGTGTAAATAATCATCAATGAGATGCTTATGATAAGCCGTTGTTTGTTTACCTTCAAGCTTTGCGTGTGCCTGTAAAACAGCCTGTAAGCGCCTGCACACGCATATTATGAACATCTCGACATGCGAAAGTGATCCTGCGAAAGTTGTTCACAATATTGATGATCCACAGAGTTTGTAATTTAGTCAAATGTTTACAAATACAAGCGCAGCCGTTTAAAGCTCATTTGTGGTGAATGATGTCAGAATTTACCGGTATTTTGGAATGGATGTGTGAATGCTCTTTTCCGGAAAATTTCCATAACGTCCTAGCCTGTGTGAACAGCGCTTTTTTGAAAATGTCGGTAAAGTCGTTCCGGAAATTTTCCAGATATTTACCGGTATCACTGTGTGAAAGGGGCTCATATTCCTGAGTAAGAAAGCAAGGATAAAAGCACAGTATCATCTGCATATTCATCAAGTACCTATTTTCCTGTGTACTCGGACAATCATTTGTGCTTAAGATAAAAAGAACAGGAGAATGTACGCCGCCTTGTGGAGAGCCTGTGGAAATATTAATGATGTCTGATAATGCCCAATTTACCCTAACTCTTTGCTTCCTACATTTTAAAAAATAAGCATGTCTCCTGCTTCAATGCCTCTGCTCGCACTCACAGACACACAATCTCTCTATACCTGAGGTCCAGGTTGGCCTCTTTCCACAGCAGATCCATCAACTTTAAAATCTGTAGAGTCAACATATCTTGCCTCAGATCTGAGAAAAAGACAGATTTTAGAAGTTTACAAGTGTTATTGTCTTCTTGGGACAGCTTCTAGCTATCATCCAAGATCTTTCCCTTACCATCTCCATTTTTAAAGATGATGCCCACTGTCTCTCCTCCCAGCAACTTGTTATTGTAAACGATCCACAGAGGTTTCATCTTAGAGTCCATGTACTTGCACTTCTCCACACTACCAAAAAAAGTTACAAAATATATATTTTTTATATGCAGTCTTTTCTAAAATGACAGCCAGATAAAACACACAAGTGTTCTGAAAGTATAAAGGCATATTTTCTCTAATAAATGTCCCAACTTTCACAAATTAAAATAGTCCATTATTCGTATTTAGCCTTTTTATTGGTCAAATTCTACTCATGTGCAGCATCTACTATCTACAAGCATAAAACAAAACACACACATGCACAAATCCTACCTGACTCCAGCAAGCAATATGTTTGGGTTGAGGGGAGAATGCAAATCGGAGAGTGTCTCGATGAATCCTGTCTGTCTTAGGCATGACATCATGGCCTCTTTCAGATGAGCTTGCTTTGTCTTCGTTTTTATAGTGCCCAGTTTTATCAACTCATTTACTGCTTTCAGCTTATTGAGAGCTTCAACCTACAAAATAATAACAAAACATGAAAATGTTCAGTGTCAGGTTGACTGGCCAGCTCACTGCTTTCAAAAATGTCTTAGTCCAATGAATGCTGTCCTGAACAATTTGTAAAGCAACAGTACTACTGGAAATTATTGGAAGAATAATATATTTCTATTATTATCTTTATTGACATATTAGGGTATAACAACAAACTTAATGGAAACAGCAAGATGCAAATAATGTGTAACCCATCACTTAAAGTGGATTATAAAATTATTCTGAAAGACAAAATGCAATAACAAAACATGATTATTTAAAGAGATTTACACACAAAAAATTTTGATGTGAAAGAAAAATATTACCACAGCAGTATTTTTTCATAGCATACTATGAAAATATGCTATGAATATATAATAATACAATTGGTTACAATTCGTTACCTTGGAACTATAAGGTTCTATCTGCGTTCTGAATGATTTTGAGATATTGAGCGTCAACGTTTTTGCCATCGATATAGCAAACAGTATGTGTGTAACATTTAGGGATGCACCGAATATTCGGCAACCGAAATTATTCGTCCGAAAATAGTCAAAAAAGCCCTTTCGGTGTTCGGCCGAATAAGCAAAAAGGCCGAATAAATTTTGCCGAACAATGACGTTTTTAATGACGCGATCAAATAGTAACCCGCGTAGAGTGAGAGGCGCGCGCTTTATGCAGCAAACATGTCAGCAGTGTGGAAGCGCTTTAAAGTGTAAGAGAAAGAGGCAAAAACGGCCGTTTGCAGACACTGTTCTGCTGAATTGTCCAGAGGAACGTTCTCTGTCTTCTCGCCCCCTTTGAGCAGATAACAAGAGAGATAAGCTCATCTGTGGCAGACGTCATACATTTACTTGCAGCACTAAAGCGTCTTTTAAACAAACCAGTAGGACCGCGGAGTGAAAACAGCTAAAAGTGCGCTCTTAGAAGCTGTCAGGGCACGATTTAGTCAGGCGGACTCAGAACACCTGTACTTCATCGCGACTGTGCTTGATCCGCGATATAAAAGATCATTACTTGGATATGGGCAAAAAGCTGCGCACACGAGAAATGATCCAGGCCGAGTTGGACTTGGGAAAGCCGCTAGGTGTTGGAGACGGACGGTCAGGTGATGCACAGCGCAGGAGATGAAAACAGCGCAGAGAGTAAACGGGCTCGTACTACGGATAAATAAATTTATTTATTTAAAGTTATATTGTGCTTTGTTTGTATATTATCTGCTGGAATGTTAAAAAATGTTCAGTGTTAAATAAATATTTTTGAAATTGTATTTTTGTTATTTGATTTATTTCTCTGAAAAGCAACACAAAATAGTTAAAAGATAATTTTTACTGTTTAATTATTGTAATGGTGAAAAAATTGGCAAACTAAATGGAAAAAAATGCAAAACACCGCATTCAGTATTCGGCCTTCGGCCAAGCAATTCATTATTATTCAGTTTCGGCTTCAGCCAAGAATTTCATTTCGGTGCATCCCTAGTAACATTTATTGATTAAATAAAAAGTCTAAAAAGTGTAAACAACTTCTAAAAAAAGCATACCATAATGTAAATAAGTCGTCATTTAATAAGAATATGTGAATAATTCAGGGGCGACGCAGTGGGTAGCACGTTCGCCTCACAGCAAGAAGGTCGCTGGTTCGAGCCTCAGCTCAGTTGCCGTTTCTGTGTGAAGTTTGCATGTTCTCCTGAGTTCGCGTGGGTTTCCTCCGGGTGCTCCGGTTTCCCCCACAGTTCAAAGACATGCAGTACAGGTGAATTGGGTAGGCTAAATTGTCCGTAGTGTATGAGTGTGTGTGTGTGAATGTTTCCCAGAGATGGGTTGCGGCTGGAAGGGCATCCACTGCGTAAAAACTTGCTGGATAAGTTGGCGGTTCATTCCGCTGTGGCGACCCCGGATTAATAAAGGGACTAAGCCAACAAGAAAATGAATGAATGAATGAATAATTCAATTTATGTCAGATAGAACCTTATAATTCTAAGTTGACAAATTTTTTAAAGCCGAAGACTCCAGTGCGCACCCATATTACACATCAGCAGTGCTACAACGTGAGGAGGTAAATGATGTGTAGGTTAGGATTAGCAGCTGAAAGCTGTCTACAGATGTGGTGCTACATCTGTATTTACAGTCTTTATGCACAACTCACGTGAGTAACAGTCTGTTGGAACTATTGCATATCAAGTGTTTCAAAGTGCTTTGCAACCCATAAACACAACCGATCCTTAAAAAAACAATCTGCACCACCACTTTTAGGTTTATTGACATACAGTTAAAGTCAGAATTATTAGCCTCCTTATTTTTTTCCCCAGTTTCGGTTTAACAGAGAGATTTTTTTTAACAAATTTCTAAACATAAAAGTTTTAATAACTCATTTCTAATAATAATAATAATGATGTCAGTAAATAATATTTTACTAGATATTTTTAAAGACCCTTCTATACAGCTTAAAGTGACATTTAAATGCTTAACTAGGTTAATTACTTAAACTAGGCAGGTTAGGGTAATTAGGCAAGGTATAATGATAGTTTGTTCTGTATACTATTGAAAGAAATATATAGCTTAAAGGGGCTAACAATTTTGACTTAAAATACATATTTCATTTGAATTAAAAACTGCTTTTAATCTAGCCGAAATAAAACAAATAAGACTTTCTCCAGAAGAAAAAAATATTATCAGACATACAGTGAAAATTTCCTTGCTCTGTTAAACATCATTTGGGAAATATTTAAAAAAGCAAAATATTCCAAAGGGGGCTAATAATTCTGACTTCAACTGTATAATATAGGTTTTGTATTGTAAGAAAATGCAAGTTCATTTAAACATGTGCTGGTTGCAGTGTAGTTCATTTTTGGTCCACTGGGTGGAACTGTTCTTCTAATCTTAGCATTGAGAAAATTTGAAGCAGACAGCCACACAGTCTCTCAGACTTTCAGCCATCTATTCATTTGGTAATCACTTATAGAAGCTTTGTCTGTAATCACTGACATTTTTATCAAGGATTTCGTGTGCATTATTTTCTAGTGTCGGGGACATTTTTATGATAAACTTTGTTTAATAAGACTGCTTTAGTTTAGATCAAAAATACATGCATCCACATCATTGTGGTGATACTGTGTGAACATCTCTTTCGATTGTACAGTAATATTTCTTCAATTCTCATTTTATTATGTATGTGTACTCTCTGTATTTCAGATTTACTCTGTTCCACCTACATTTAAAATGGTGGTCACAATGAATCCAAATGTTCCAGTTCAAAATCTCAGTGGAAGGAGATGTCTATCTGTCTAGTTAAAGAAGGGCAACTATTTTACAAGGGCAGAATAGTAAAAAGACAACTAGAAAAGTAGAGTTCGTAGACATACTTTATGGTATCTTGAGAAAGCCTCATTCATTTTGAAGCAGTTTTAAAAATTAAATAATTGAAATAGTTTTTAAGAAGATTGAAGCAGCTGGCATAGAGAGATAACTACATATAGGTTAGCTGGTTTATAGTAAAGATTGGCATGTTTCGGGCTAGGTGGTTGCTAGGTGGTCATTGCTAAGGTGTTGCTAGGGTGTCCTAAAGGGGTTGCTAGGGCATTTGACTGTTAAGGTGTTAGGCAGTTGCTAAGGTGTTCTCAGTGGTTGCAAAGGCATTGCTATGGTGTTCCAGGTAGTTGTTAAGATGTTGCTAGTTGGTTGCTATTGTATTCTGAGTGGTTGCTAGGTCAACCACTGAGCGGTTGCTAAGGCATTGCTAGGCGGTTGCTCGTGTGTTATGAACGGTTGCTAAGGTGTTGTTAGGGTGCTCTTGATTGCTAAGGTGTTGCTAGGCGGTTGCTAGGGTGTTCTGAGTGGTTGCTAAGGTGTTATTAGGGTGCTCTAGGTGGTCGCTAAGATGTTGCTAGGCGGTTGCTAAAGCGTACTGATTGGTTACTAGGTTGTTGCTAAAGTGTTGCTAGACCATTGCTAAGGTGATCTAGGTCATTGCAAAGGTGTTGCTAGGTGGTTGCTAGGGTGTTATAAGTGGTTGCTATGTGGTTGCTAAGGTGTTGCTAGGTGGATGTTAGGGTCTTCTGAGTACACATATACTGTACATCACTTATATGCAATAAAACTGCAGGTTAAACCAGTTTATAAATAATAACTTTAACTGTTAAAAGCTATTAGTTACTAGTTAATTAAAGGTATTAGTAAGTACTAAAGTTATGTTAACTAATAACTTTAACTTCTCTGAATTTGATTGTAATGCAATAATGTGCACCTTTTGTAAAGCTGCTTTAAAACAATTATTGTAAAAAAAGTGATTAAAAAAAAGAAAAACAAAAGAATTGAATCAATCAATCAATCAATCAATCAATCAATCAATCAATTTCTACTTGTAAATGTGCTGCAACTTTAAAATATAACAAACAATTAAGAAAATGTACTATATTACCAACCAAAAAAACTAGCGATGCTGAATTTGGGTCAATGAAGCTTAAATCTATTTACTAAAAGTACTGCCCTTTCCCACATTTATTCTGACCCTCGTCTTCTGCCTACATCTATGATTAGATTAAATCCTTTCATTTTTGACATTGGATTTTACTTTAAATCCTAAAGTTTTACTTCTGACAGTAATCGATAATAATTGAAAAAGTTGGCATGGCATTTGGCACCTGTTTTTTGAGAACTTCAATGTGTGGGATGCAGCCTCTGCAGTAGGCTTCCAAGATCAGAGCAAAATGAACCGATACAGCTGGCATGTACATTTCAGACCTGTATCGCATAACACAAACAAACACAATTAGCGCACACATTAGTTCTGCATAAACATAATGACATACTGGTTGAACCGAACATAGTTACACATGCAGGCTTTCTTCAGATATATACTTGCCTGAGATGCCAGAAGAGGAAATGACCAATTTTACGGCTGGTCTGAGCACGTTCTAGGAGGAAACGGCTGAGGCTGCAGTCATAGTATGGCTCATAGCGCAACACCTGCACAAGCTGCAGCAGATACTGCAACAGCTCATCATCACTAACACACACAAAAACAAACATTTAGGATTTCCGCATTTCTCATGAGGTTGCTTGACAGCATGTGCTCCTCACCTCATATCTTTGAGGCAGCTGACTGCAAATTCTCTGACATACTGGTCTGGATAGTTGAAGTCCAGAAGTTCCAAAGCATCACGAGGACTCAGCTTAGGCCAAATCTGCAGCAAAGCTTGTAGCTGCAGTACAAGAGTGAGGCATTTGAAAATGTCTGTTGTGGAATGTATATGCATGAGTCTGTTTATTCATAATACCTGAGCCATGTCTTCATGTTTGCTCCATTTGACAGAGAGTAGAAGTTTAGGGAGAGACTGAGGAAAATTTTCTCTGCAGTCATAGCGAAGTGTCCAGATCAGATCCTTCTCATTCTCACACAGCTGAGAAAGAGGATCCCTCTCCATGATCTCCTTCAGCTCTATGTAAAACTTTTTACCCCCACGACCCTACAATTATTTCAATACATTAATAAGGACATCAAATAGACATAATGGTAATTACATGAAAGTGATTATAGTAATAGATGGATGATCCAAATAAATCATACCATTACAAATAATGCCTGGTTCACACTAAAGGATTTTAAACCTGATTTGAGCCCGATTTGGAAGTTAACGAGCTCGCCGACAGATCGGGCTGTGATCAAGAAGAAATCTGCGGGTGCTCGGCGCTCGACGCTCTTTATGTGTGAACTACTGAACAACGCATCAACGAGGCTCGCTGACGCGTCGCCGACACCTCGCAGACGGAAATCCAACATTCAGCATGCTAAATACTCCAGAGCAGTCGGCCGACTCAACCCCACGTGTGGTCAGATGTAGTGACGAGCTGCAGCCAATGAGAGAGCATATCAGCATGAGCTGAATGCCTGTGTGTTCAGGAGCTCAGCAGAAACATCTGTGATTGGTCAGAATGGGCATCGGTGCACTCGCTTCATTCTGCGTTAACACAGACATGAGAGTAGGCTATATTAACAGTGGAACTAGACTTCTGTAACTATTAGACTTACCATACTGCTCATTCTGACCATTCTCATATAAAACGCCATATTGTCACAACATATTTACATTCAAAGCTATTATTGAGATATTAAAATTAAGCTTTGAATGTCTGGCATCATATTTAATGACACCATTACCATAAAAATATTATCTTTTTTTTGGTAATACAGCCTATAAATATGTAGTTAAGATACTAAAACACTTAAAGGTCTTGGCTTTCATTTTCACTTTCAAACAGGAGCTATTTCACAGCATAGAATATGCTGTTTTGAAAGATATCTGAAGTAAACTGATGTTTGTGCCATCAGAAAGTTTTGTTTATGTTAGCAGGAAGTTGCTAGGCAAGAAAATGCACACATATTTAAAGTCACAGTGAAAAGTATCAGACATGCATGCAGTCATTTTAACCAATATGGTAATTTAAGGCAGAAATGCTCAGTTCTTTACTGTTTTGTAATAAAAAAAAAATAACAATGTCAGAAAGAAATACACCGATAGTTAGAAAACGGCAGGGTGTTATAAATATGTTAGTTTTATTTCAAAGAGTTATAAAATTACAAAAATTAAAAACTCTGTGTATCTATCCACTGGAACCTGCAGATGAGTGATTAATCCGCTGATAAATCAGCTGATTTGACGATGTTTTTAAATGCTTTCTCCAAAGCTTGAAACGCTGTCAGTAATGTCATCAGCACACAAGCAGCCAATAGTGTTCAGCTTTTTCTGACGACTCCTCCCTCAAAATTTCATTGGCTGTGGTTTGGTAGCTTGAATGAGCTGATGGGGAATGAGTTGTTGTCAGATCATGTAGTGTGTGACCCCCCTCTTGTGGATCATTCACAGAGTGTTGCGTAGTGTGAACACCACAGAGATTAAAAGACACAAAGTCAAGTCATGTAGTGTGAACGGCACAGCGATCTGCTGAGGTTTAAAATCCTGTAGTGTGAACTAGGCTTAAGGGCCACGGGAAGCTGGGTCATTATATCATTATAATATTTAATATTCTTAAATCAAGTTAATGTTTCAATATAATTTACCATTGACATGGAATCACTGGCTCCAGCTATTTCTGCAGCTTTTTCCAGGATCTAATGAAAAACATTTATTACAGAACAGCAATTAACATGATGGAACAAACACAACTTTGGGGCATAAATAAATTTACTTTACGGCCATCTAAAACGTAAAAAAAAAGCCTATTAATGTGCCTGTTTACTGGCTTGTTGGCTGATTGTGGTGATTGATTTCAGGTGTAATTGAGTTTGTAGAGCTGCATCATTATTTCTTGAGTATTCTCATGTATTGTTTTACCTGATGAAGATCATGTAGGTCGAAACGTTGTGAGTGATATTAAAGAACTTTTGAGAGCTAAAGTAGCAGTGTGCCGATTTTCTTTTGAGCTTTTGGTACTGTGTTTATTTTTTGATCAAGCACCTGCCTTTGAGGTTTTTATACTCACAGGAAAAGCAGGAGTGACTACTTGACTGCTTCAATATGCATATGGCATTTCGCTCGTCTTGCGCTGAACGTTGTTGACCAATTGCAACAGGCTGTCATCGGTCCAATCAGCGCAGATTAGCTTCGCGCTAAGGAGGGGTTTGGGAACAAATGAATTGCTGAACAAATCATATGGGATTCGCTGAGATAATTAGGTAAAAATAAATGCATGCCATAAAGCCTCGAAAGTGAATGCATGTTAGCCTGTTGTTGGAGACCCTTAAAGCAAAATATGACCCCTTTATGGCCCCGTTTACACTAGTGCGTTTTAGTTTTAAAACGGCGTTGTAGAATGAAAACGATCCGCGTCCACACTCGCGTTTTACCCAGCGTTTCTGAACATCTCTCCGTCCACACCAAAACGCTGAAAACGCACATCACGTGACCACACACACACTCTCGGGCAAGCGCACCAGCTTTTCTACCCAGATGAGAGCTCTGCTTGTCGGACTGCTCCTCAAGCATCTCTCGCTGGATCTAATCTCACTATATTTGCTAAACGTGATATTTCATTCATGTTGTTGTCTTTATCTAACGACATAGGCCAATTCCCTGACTTTGGTCATTGGAATCTATTAAGTTACTTGTTCACGGGTAACATGTTTTGGTTAAGCGCAAAGATAAGTTAATGATTAATCCAGGTACATTGACTGATCGCTTGCCTTTATTTCCTACAATGTATAAACTTATTGTATGTTATACTTTTATAATTATCGATTATTAAAACTGATATTCAGCAAAAGAGAGGGTGTGTTTCGTATTTTTACTGAAATTGAAAGGAAACAGTTGTTATTGGCTCCGTTTTGTTATAAATATCCACACAGTGAAGATGACGCTCATATATGCAGCACGACGCCTCAACATTTCTGCTGTCTGTTAAGTTGCTAATATTAAAAAGAAAATAGGCAGTTCCTTAAATCATGTTTACATTTTATTGTTGAGAAAGTGAAACAACGTAGCCAAGGTGATGTGAATGAAGTTATAAAGTACACGGTTCCCTTTGAAGATTTACGCGTGTCCTCGGTATGTTTTCCATATCAAACTGAGAAGGGGGAGACTGCAGCCTTGATCAAACTTGCGAAGTCTTAACTTACAAGAAGAGGATGCGAGACTGAACTGTGTGTGGGCTACTTAATATTGAGGAAAAGCCCCAATCAGATAGGCGAACGTTTGCACCCCCGCCTCCGTTTTCAGATGTCTCCGTCTTTCCCCATCCACACTGAGACGGAGCAGCAGCGTTTTAGAATGAAAACGGCCTTTCCAGCGTTTTCAAAAAGCTCAGTTTTCGGCGCTCGAGAACTCCGGCGTAGTGTGGACGGATGGCGTAACCGTAGCAAAACTTATGCGTTTTCAAACTAAAACGCACTAGTGTAAACGGGGCCTATAATGCAAAATAGGGCTCTTTAACACGGAGGAGGTGGGGTTTATGACTTGTCCTGCAGCCAGCCCCCAGGGTGTGATCTAACAGCCTAACAGCCATAACAATCTGAACTGCCATTGCTTCCTGTTTAATAAATGTTTTTAAAAAGTTTTAGAGCTTTCTTTTGAAACATTTCTTCTTACTATGTAACTACTACGTTATATATACTGTGTACATTTTTACATGTTGTTTGAGAGCAACAGCAGGGAGGATAAAAAGTTGCATGCGACTTAAGAGCCTCAGGTTGCTGACCTCCTTTAGAGTCAAAAGTGCCAGTCCTTTTCTGACTGTGCAAGACTAAGTGAATCGCAAGTCAGAAACATATGATCAACATATGACCATGTGTATATGCTTCGTTGCGTATGTCAGTAAATAGCCATACCTTGTCAAAAGCAGGAAAAACAACTGGTTGCGTTGAGTATTCTGGAAAGCTTATATGTAGCTCTGTGGCATTCTCTGTGTATGGATTGGTCTGAATGGTGCCGATAGGGTTCAACATCTCTTCCAGCTCATCTGCAACATACAGGAAAAGGCATTTCCTGAGCACATTTCCTTCCTTTACTAAGCATCATTTCTCAGTCTTACACAAAATACGCAGTGTTTTTCTAATTTCACAGACACACACCCTATGAGACATAGATCCAGCAGCTTACACAAGCACAGTCACAATCACACCCCAGTAAATTGAGAATATGTGTGTGTGTGTGTTCTCACCAGGAAATGATGACCAACAGTGGAGGATAATGTCACCAGTTTTCAGCTGCCCTCTGTAGTCAAATACCATAGTATTCACCCATGCAATTGGGTAGTGCTATTAAATGAAAACACACGTGTGTGTGTGTATGTGTGTGTCAGTGCTTAGAATAATTGACTGAATAGAGGATTTTGCACAAAACTAAACATAATTGGAATTACTATAATAACATGATTTAGTGTTATAAATAAAGCTAGTGTGGGTTAGACTTACTACTTTCCCTGCCTTGCGGATAGTCTGGTATTTGTTCAGGTGTGTGTTCTTTGTGGATCTCTGTTTTTTCACTTTATCCATAACAGCATAAATTGCAAAGCAGAGGCGGGCCATCCGTGGCAGATCACAAACAGGAATGTCAAACTCCAGTGTTTTGTTCCACACATGTTCAGATCGACTGCTGCTCTCATTGCTGACAGCTGTCTTGCACAACAACTCTGTACCATGAAAAAGTCCTGCTCGAACCTGGATCTACATATTACAATAAAAAAGGAGAGAAAAAAGAGAACATTAATAATGCTAAAGTGTTTCTAGATGTATGACAAGTTAACTTTGTCTGACCAGCTTTTAGCATCACTGAGTGCTCTATTTTAACGATCTAAGTCTAAAGCGCAGAGCGAAAAAGCATTAAGGGCTTGTCCGAATCTACTTTTGCTATTTTAAGGAAGAAAAAAAAACGCTCTGCGCCACGGCGCATGGTCTAACAGGGTTGAGCTTATTCTCTTAATGAGTTATTTGTGTGTTTGGAGAATAAAACAATTAGAGTCTCATCTCCCATTCTCTTTAAGAGTCAGTTGTGTTGCGCCATGGCACATTTGCTTTTTACATGGCGGACTTTGTAAGTGTAAAAACTGAACGCATCACTAGCAAGAAAACAGTTAAGCAGACCATCTGCAGTGCAAGGATAAAGAATGAGCTTCCTACAATCTGCCTTTACGTTTACTTTCACTTTCTCTCATTCGTGGATAAGGAAACAGTGTTATACACGCTCCGCTGAAGACATCCATTAGCCTACATAATTTTGTTTGTCAAGTGAAAAGATTTGTTTCAAAACTATTTCTAAATTCACTTCTTATTTCCAGGAAACGAATAAATGAACAGTAATAATGAAGTGTGGTATAAAAAAACAGAGTTATATCCAAATACACATGCTATGTCCCATATGGTCGAAAACCTGACAGTTGGACAAATCTAAAATAGTTTTTGTGCCTTAACACACCTCTTTTCTAGACCGAAACGCCCATGAGTCCAAAAAGTGGTGCAAATGGATTTGTTAGTTGAACAACATGGCTGAAAACAGGAAAATTAATGTTGCGTTGGTCTGAAAATGGCAACAGCTCAGTGCAAACAGGTCTCGAGCCTTATTGCGCCGGGTGTATGATAAGGCCCCTAATGTTTGATTACTGTTACTGTTTTGTTTGTATTGTCTTGACTGTGGTTTAAACACTGGGTAACAAGTAAACACTTGTTGGCAAAAATCAAAAGTTACTCCAGCTAATGGTGATTTCATGTAAATGCCCTCTGTCTTGTGCAACAATGAACAATGAACAGAGTATCCTTATCCAAAAAAAGTGTGAAAGTTGTATGAATTTATTCCACAGTGAGCAGGCTTGACAGTCAAACCTCCATTTAAAAATATGAAAACAGTTTATTAATTTACAAAGAATTGAGAAACAAGTGAAATTATTGTCCGTGGTAATCAACAACATAACACCAAAGCATCACATAGACATCTTACTAAATGCTAAAAACTTTCCACACGCAATGGGCTATATGCACACTGACTTAATTTTCAGCCAGGCAGCCCAAGGACTTCTGGTGAACTGTCTTTCCATTACAAAATGTGTCACGTTTAAGATTAGAGGTATTCACAGCCTGTTAGATTTAGGATATGAAGTGGGTCTCAGATCGCACAAGAAGCACTGCTTTAAATTCCACTCCCCCCTCCCTGTTTATGTCTTTAAAATATGACAGTTTATTTTACCCCAGTATTTTCAATGGAATATCTGCGCTAGCATGTTGCTCCTGATGGAGCTAGTGGTTGCAACGGTCTTTTATCTCGTTTTACGCTTAAGCAACTAAATGGATACTGAAGTCTATTTAACTGAATATATTGTAATTACATTACAACATCGATGCTGTAAAAACAACCTTTTGAAATTGAAAATAGTCACAGTAAGCTTTCACTGGATGCTTATCGTTGGCTTTAAAACTCTCGCTGTGCATAGAGCCCATTGGTAATACAACTATTGTCCTATGTAGTTTTGTATATTTGGAAAAGCATTCCAGACTGTATTTCATGAGAAAGAATTTTAGAAACTATTTTTTATGGGGTGGAAAAAAAAAAAAACAAACATGAAGACCCACGCCTCAAATCTTACCATCAGTGGGGTGAAAGCAGATATGTAAACTTGCAAATGTGATTGTACAAATTAGTCAGCAAATCTTTTAAACATATTTATTACATACCACGAGAGTGAGTTCCAATAACTTTGGATTTTGGAATACTGCTCCTTTACACAAATATATACAGTTGAAGAATTATTATCCCCCGTTTAATTTTTTTTTTTTTCCTTTTTAAACATTTCTCAGATTATGTTTAACAGAGCAAGGACATTTTCACAGTATGTCTAATAATATTTGTTTTTCTGGAGAAAGTCTTGTTTTATTTTAACTAGAATAAAAGCAGTTTTTCATTTTTTAAAAACCATTTAAGGTCAAAATTATTAGCCCCTTTCAGCTATATATTTTTTAAGGTCTACAGAACAAACCATCATTATACAATAACTTGCCTAATTACCCTAACCTGCTTTGTTAACCTAATTAAACAAGTTAAGCCTTTAAATGTCACTCTAAGCTGTATTGAAGTGTAAAAATATCTAGTCAAATATTAATTACTGTCCTCATTCATTCATTCATTTTCTTTTTGGCTTAGTCCTTTTATTAATCCGGGGTCACCACAGCAGAATGAACCGCCAACTTATCCAGCACATGTTTTTTACAGCAGATGCCCTTCCAGCGGCAACCGATCTCTGGAAAACATCCATACACACTCATTCACACTCATACACTGTGGACAATATAGCCTACCCAATTCACCTTTACCACATGTCTTTGGACTGTGGGGGAAACTACGTCGCCCTACTGTCATCACGGGCAAGATAAAATAAATCAGTTATTAAAAGTATTATGTTTAGAAATGTGTTGAAAAAAACCTTCTCTTCGTTAAACAGAAATTGGGGGGGGAAATAAACAGGGGGCTAACAATTAAGGGGGGGTTAATAATTCTGACGTCAACTGTATATATTTTATTTTAATGTAATACTCTCTCTAGGCCACCAGGAGGCAGATAATCATTATTGCATGTAGGATCATTCAGAATTTAGAGGCGTTGTCCTTGTTTACCTTAGCAGCATCTTCAGCGTTCACCTTGTTAGCTTTCACAAGATTAATTCTAAACAGAGAATGAACCTTCCAAACACATGTATGAAGTTGTTGTGGTAACTGAAAGACAAAAAGAGAGTTCAGTTAGGTTTAACATTAACAAACACAATTATTAAAAAAAAAAAAACATTTTCATCAGTTACTATTTATGGGGAGTGATGAACAACACACACTTAAATGTGACACTTTTACGAATAAGAGGATTGGACATTCTGTTAAATCACATCTGAGAGTCCTTTGCAATGGTTTGAACAAATGCGTTTTTAAAGTTTCAAATTTGAAGTGTCAAAGTTTAAGATTAATTATATGTAATAAAATAACACAATGAAGTAAACATTAGAAAAGGCGTAAGTATAAATAATGTAACGCTTTATTTTGATGGTCCATTTGAGTATTGGTAGACTGTCTGCCTAATATCTGTTGATACTGCTGATAAACAAACATTTCACTGACTTTGCAGGTACAAGTCAACTTAGAGTAACACTTACCTCAACCCTAACTCAAACAGTCTACTAATAATCTAATGAGAATTAGTTGGCATGTGGATGCAATGTACCTTAAATTCAACAAACGAACCATCAAAATAAAGTGTGACCTAAATAAGTATATACTGTAAATATATCTATACATTGACCTCATACACACATTGAAATAAATGCTCATACAAGCTCACATATATACATTATTTTAGCAGATGATTTTAACATCAGCAGTTCCCCTGAGGTCAGCAATCTGACATAATAAATCACATGATCAGTTCTAACATACTTCCCTGACTCACTTCCTGGAACACATTTTTAAAACTCATTGGCCCAAAACATCTAAATCTGTTAGCAAATGACCTTTACTGTGCACTGGCCAGTACACATGATCACAGTTCACTTTATATGTCTGTCAGACACACATACATACTCATTACACTCATCCACATGGCAGCAAATAATTATATTATCACAGTAAAAATATATCAAGTTTGAGATTTCCTTTGAGAGTCTAGTACTTTGCATTCACAAACATTTCTACGGCACTTGCAGCACAAAATTAATAAAACAGCACATAATTGAAACACAACATTCCATGACCAAAATCCACGGAGGGTCGCCTCGCTTAATCCAACCCTGGAGAAGAGTTTGAAGCATTTTGATTGTCACTGGAATTCAGAGGTAGCTAAATTAAATCTTGCCTTCACCATAACAACATCAAATACAAATTCCCCATTCAACCAATAGAGGAGAGACATTAACATATTACCAAGTTAAAAGTCATCAATTTGCAAAGGAAGTGAAAGAACAAATTCCACTATATGAGTCTACAGTTTTGAGGCAGCAACAGATACAACAATGTTCCGTTTCTTCACTAAGCAATGAAAAAACAAAGACATCAACCAGCTCTGAGAATCTTACAATTCATTTCATCTTTATTTCTATAGCACTTTTACAACATAGATTGTGTCCTTTACAATGTAGATGAGACAACCAGGCTTCCCACTCTAAGCCAAACATCAAATTCCCTGACTATCCCTGACTAAAAAGGCAGCTGTCTCTCCAGAGAAGTTCATTCATTCATTTTCTTTACGGCTTAGTCCCTTTATTAATCTGGGGTCACCTCAGCGAAATTAAACCACCAACTTATCCAGCATATGTTTTACGCAGCGGATGCCCTTCCAGCTGCAACACATCACTGGGAAACATCCATATACACTCATTTATACAGATACACTGCGGCCAATTTTTAGCTTACCCAATTCACCTACAGAACATGTCTTTGGACTTGTGGGGGAAACCAGAGCACCCAGAGGAAACCCACGCAAACACGAGGTGAACATCCAAACTCCACACAGAAATGCCAACTGACCCAGTCAGGGCTTAAACTAGCGATATTCTTCCTAAGAGGTGATTGTGCCTTTGATTGACATTTTTTATAGTTAGAAGCAATGTCTTCCAATTCGCTTACGATTGTCTCCGTTTGTGTTGTCAACTATGATACACAAACTACAGTTATGTTGTTTTTCACTTAATTCTCTATATTTAATTTCTTATACAACATATTGTTTAGGGCTGTGTGATGTGGGCAAAATATGTAATTGTGATTTTTTTGACATATTGCTATTTTGATTTGATGTGCAATTTAATTTTGTAGTCAAGCTTCAGCTATCTGTATATTTATATATATATATATATATATATATATATATATATATATATATATATATATATATATATATATATATATACATATATATATCGTCACCTTAGAATTATAAGGTTCTATCTGAACTTTTTGTCAAAATTGAGTTTTTGACATATTCTTATTAAATGGCAACTTATTTACATTATGGGATGTTTTTGTATAAGTTGTTTACATTTTAAGATTTAAAAAACAAAAAAGGTGCATCTACAAAGTTGAACTCTAGCTTGGCTCTATAAGGTTCTATCTGTAAGCCAATCAGCATTTTTAATGCATGCACGAGGACCAATCAGGATCAACTTTCTTTGTCATTTCGCCGGACCGCTCTAATGACAGCGGGAAAGACCAGAAAGACAAAAATCACACACAATCAGAGTCAATTAAATAATGCCGCACCAGACACAATTGAAATGTGTGTAAATGTGATGATTTAGAAGCATTTCTTTACACTGAGATTCATTCATTCATTTTCTTTTCGACTTAGTCCCTTTATTAATCTGGGGTCGCCACAGTGGATTGAACCGCCAACTTATCCAGCATATGTTTTACACAGCGGATGCCCTTCCAGCTGCAACCCAACACTGGGAAACACCCATACACACTCAATCACACACATACTCTATGGCCGATTTTAGCTTATCCAATTCACCTGTACCGCATGTCTTTGGACTTGTGGGAGAAACCAGAGCACCCAGAGGAAACCCACGCAAACACGGGGAGAACAGGCAAACTACACACAGAAATGCCAACTGACCCAGCCAAGGCTTGAACCAGCGACCTTCTTGCTGTGAGACAATCATGCTACCCACTGCGCTACTGCGTCGCAAACAATGAGATGAATTGCTCAATTTTACATTGTTGAAAAAGAAATGAATATTTAAAAATTTGTATATTAAACAGGAAATATATTTATTTGTGTATATATAGTGAGTGAAACACTTTTCAGTGTTTATTAAACTCATTTGTTCATTGTCTGTTTCTTTTAAAGTCTATAAGTTTAATATTAAGCCTTGAAGGGCAAATACTTAATTTAATTCATAGGGCATATAATTCAATAAATATAATTTAATAATTCATATAAAGCATAAAATTTAATAAAAATTAACTATTGTAATTAGATAAAATTAACAGCTGCACTGGAAAGAAATATTTATTACAGCCTTGTATGCTTAATTTGAACAAGAAAAAATATTCATCCTAAAACATTAAATAAATGTTACAGAAAGCAAAATGTTTACTTTCTCAAGCATCAACATATTGTTACAACACTAAATTATATATTTTTTTGATTGCATTTCTTGATAAATAATGCTTTAATGAATGATCTGCCAGATAGAACCTTATAATTCCAAGTGGAAAATGTATTTTCAGAATGAGAAGGTTCTATCTGAATTTACCGTGGTTTATTTACTCCAATTTGCAAATGTAAGAGAACTTTGATAATTTACATTTGGAGAACCCTTAGGGTCTCTGTCATGTTAATGTATGAAAGAGATCTGTTACACACGTTGTTTGCAATATAGAATGCAAAAACTTTGAAGCTCAATATCTCAAAATCATTTAGAACGCAGATAGAACCTTATAATTCTAAGGTGACGATATATATATATATATATATATATATATATATATATATATATATATATATATATATATATATATATATATACTATGATACTACGATACAGAATATTGAGAAAACTGGAGGCTAATAATTCAGAGGGGCTAATAATTCTGACTACACATAACTAAAGCATGCTGAAACATCTCTGAAATTGTACTTTACTGTTGCTAATTTCTAAATTGAGTGTCACTGGCAATACTTTTAGTTGACTTTTTAGCAAGACATTCCTCATAAAGCCACCTGTGTTGCTTTTTTAGGTGCTTGTTGTTATATTTCCTCGTGATGTGGCAACAATTCTGCGACAGCTCTTACAAATGACTTGTTTTTGTTATAAAATAATTATTATTCCCATATTATTGATGTCCTGTTTTTCTTTGATATTAATTGGTCTATTAATGCTTCTAAAGCGGCAAATGCCATCATGTCACTCGTTTGTCTGTTTGTTTGTTTTTTATTGTGGATGTTCCACATAGTTCGGTTGATTGGACAGAACGAAAGTGTGCTTACTCAATTGGCTCGTAAAACTATCACACACAGACATCGGTCACGCATTTGTTCTGGCCGCAGGAAATTTAATAATACATATATTTATTTCATTTCCCAGCTTCTTGCGATTAGCTAATCACTACTTTTCAAATCGTGATCGCGCTTCGATTTCAATTGATCGCACAGCCCTAGTTGGATTGAGTGAATTTGTTAAACTGCAGAGCTGAATTTTCATCATTAACAGAGATCATGGTAACATAACGTGTAATAAACAGACAGACAGGACAGTGTTAAATTTCTGCCACAACATCTGCATTGCTTTATACTGATAAACATAATATTTGCATATAGAAATTGCTTATCTGCTGTGTGAATCCTCTAGTTGCCGCATTATTGTAATAAAAAAAAAAATTTAAATATTGAACTAAGATGTTTAATTTTGTTTAGATTTTCACAGTAAAAACCCACAAGAAATACTGTAATATTACCTCAGATTTTAAGAAAAGTCACCACAAAATCAGTCGTTTTTGGCTAAAAAAATTTAAAATTGTTGGCACAAAATCAAAGACAGACTGGTTGAGCACTGCCTCAAAAAATGATGTAAGTTTGGGGTGGGACTGCCTATTTGTTTGAGCAATAGCAGGTGAGAATGTGTGTGTGTGTGTGTGTGTGTGTGTGTGTGTGTGTGTGTGTGTGTGTGTGTGTGTGTGTGTGTGTGTGTGTGTGTGTGTGTGTGTGTATATATATACACACACATATATATATATATATATATATATATATACACACACACACACACACATACATATATATATATATATATATATATATATATATATATATATACACACACACACACACACACACACACACACATACATATATATATATATATATATATATATATATATATATATATGTGCATTGTCATTTGGTGCTGCTAGGGGTAGAAATAAAAAAATAGTACGTCGATTACCTGAGACGCAGACATACTCGATGTCCTTACAGTTGTTTGTCTCTTCTTTGGGGGCAGTGGTAGCGGAGGGTTTGAGGTCTTCCTTGCAAGCACTGAGCCAACAGTAGCGATTTCCTTCTCAAACATGCTCTTCACTATGTCAAAGTGAACCACTGTTAGATGAGGGTTTTCACCGGTCGACAAACAAGCCCTAATGTACTACACACACACAGAGACAGACACACATGTAGTTTTAATGTTTTCATATAAGAAATATTTATATCACTTCTGATCCCTATGCTATACAATACCAAAACAAATACTGCAAACAAATGATGCCAATTAAGTGCAAGTTCCAAACCTACATTTGAATATTAATGGCTTGAGTTATATCTCTTGGAACAACCCAGCTCTTACGATTCAAACACAACAAAACGTGTCCTTAATCACTCACCTGACTGGTTTTAGGCTCACGAATAAACAAAATTATTATGCACACAAAAATCTTGTGTTTGATGTCTGAACATGACCTACCAGTTAGACACAATTTTCTAGAGGAATTCTTTTCATTGCTTTTTTGAAAAACCAACCAGGGTTTTACTGTACATCTACTTCGCTGTAAGTACTTGCATGATAAATATATGAGTGAAGATTAGTGTTAAAATGTTATGCATCTGGAATTTTAAATGCGAGTAAAATTGCACAAATCAAATACTAATTCAGCCCTAAAAATATATAAATAATAATCTCAAGTCTTCTGAATATTATGTTAAGTCAGAGCATTGAAATGGCATGATGAGTAAATAAAGAGAGAAAATAATAAATGCTTTTAATGCATCTTTAAACAGTGCATTGTCTTTAAAAAATGATACTTGCTATACTGCATTTAGCCATATTAACAATAGCAACCTTTGGAAAATTAAGTTTGACCTTTAAAAGCCATTTCTGGCACTTTATCTTACTTTGTACTGTATAAGAGGATAATCTTCAAACAGGAACTCAAGTCTATCACTGACACGCAGCACATAATTGCTACGGGCACCAATGTCTTCCTCTGGCCCATGAGTAGTCTGCCATTTCTTGAGAGCATGATCCATTACTTCAGATACTGTACAATTCAACGATACTTTCAGGCTGGCTGTGTCCTACAGACAAAAAAAAAGAGAGAATACAATTGATGTTGAATTTCATGCTAGAAACATATGTAATAGGCCATATCCTGAATAAAAAACAGATCTACCTGTGACTGGTCGTAGTGCATGGTGATTTTAATTATGCCCTCATGCCTCTCAATCAAATTATCCAATGAGCTTGTGTCCAGCTGTGGGGAATAAGAGCTGCGAAGCCACTGCCCCCATGACATCATTTGCATTTGCTGCATTTTCTCTTCGCTGATTCTTTTCATTTTGGAACGAAAGTCTTTTACTTCCTGGTCTTGCAGGGCATCCAACTCATGAAGACCTGCACCATAAAGTTCTGTGACTTAACAGTCTCGCAACATAAACAACATCCACTACAAATCTGGGGTCTGTTCTTCTAAATATGTGGATTTAGCTACATTTGATTATTTATAATTTGACCCTATCTAGGATTTATTCATTCTTCAAAACTCATCCAGGATTTGTGAGGGAAAAAAATACAAATATATATATATTTTAATTATTAAAGCAAATTTTCCGCAAATTTTACTGTAAAAAATGATCTGTAAACTAAAAGTTCCCATTTAATCTTGCTTTTGACTTGCATTATAAAATGTGATGTTTGAGAAATTAGACTTTTAGTGACATTTTTAATAGTTTGAAGTTATAGATTGTCTGGACTGGTGTTTTTCATTTAAACACCATTTTCATTTTTCATTGGTTTTCATTTAAATAGTTATAGACTTCATCATATATTTTTTTTCATACAATATAATGTTTGAAATTACTAAAATCTTTTGTAAAGACTTTTGTTAAACTCTAGAGTTGTATTTTCAACATCATAGCAACAGCTCTGGTAGAAAAAAATAATTTCATATAAATAAATAAATAAATAAATATATATATATTATATAAATTATATATATATATATATATATATATATATATATATATTTATATAAACAGGATTAGTTCAAGCAAAAGTGTTATTGAAATTATACACCAACTGCTACCAACTCTTACAAGAGTACTGCATTAAATTATGGAAATAATAAGGTATTGCCAAGGTGGAATAAACTGCCAATTCTGATTTATACTTGCGTTGCACGATTGTAGTCGTGCATTTAAATTTCTGCATGCTGTTTGTGTTGCTCTGCAATAAATCTTCTGAAACGCTAGCTGGCAGTAGGTTTATGTTCCTTTGTGTTGAGTTTTTAGTAGATCAACCTCGCTCATTCAGAGGCAGAGCCGGTGGACGTCCAACAACTTTAATCATAAGGTATACACCAAACAAAAGTTTTCATCTGGAGCTCCTTCACGGGACTTTACACTTGTAAACACTCGCTCTATTGGGCTCGTGGCTCTCAGCACCGCCCACACTCGTGAGCGTGAGCTTGATGCAGAAGAATAAATTAAGGCTGGTTTATACTTCTGCGTCAAGTGACTGCCGTGAAATCCAACACATGCATTGCATGTACTCGTGCATTTATACTTCTGCACTCTGTTTGTGTAGCTCTGCAATAACACTTCTTAAACGCTAGCTGGCAGTGGGTTATGTTCCATAAGTTACTGTTTTGTTTTTTCTGAATGCTACCTTAAAGGGCCATGAAACCCCCTCGTTTCAGCAGGGTGTTTTCACACCTCTAATTTGGAAAAACTCAGAAAAGTGGGCGTGTCCAGCTCTGTTTAGAGGGGAGTGTCGGAGGAAGAAAAGAGGCTTGGTGTGGGAGTGTCTATTTGGGCGCGCTGAATTTCAGAGTCAAAACACACACACACAGGGGACAATGTGACTGTGTTTACATGGACATCTGTAATTGAATTATTTGCCAAATTATTAAATGGTGGACTTTAACTGCAGTTTGGCTCTTTCATTCAGGGAATTCATTCATGTCCCTCTCGACAAACGTGATATTTGATTCAAGGAACTGCTCTAAGCGTGTATTTTCATGCAACGTTTGATACCGCACGGCGAATGAGAGAAAAAAAACTCAGCATTTCCCGGAAACTTAGATGCACACGGCAGGTAGCGTCAGAAAGCCGCGTGTGTTATTCCGGTCACAAAATCCAACACGAGGTTATAATTTGGTTGTAACTGTTAGTGCTAACTTGTTTACACTCGGTGCAATAGTTTGTTTGATACGAATAAAATACGAACTGAATAAACAAAGAGCACTGGTCGGTCACTTACCAAATCTGTAGAGACAGGACAATCACCAGCAACTAGAGACGCGCCTTTATTTAGAGGAGACTACAAGCGAATCCAGATCTCAGCGTTTGCAGATGAGAACAGCTCTCAGGTAAACAATAATCCTCCTTAGACACGTAAGTTATTGTTGTCGTGCGTCGCGTACACTGTTAATCCACACGTGACGCCAGCTGCGCTCTCACAGAGAGAAAATGAAAACAAAACTTAACTGCAGCAAACTATAAAAGCAACACTTCACGCTTGTTTTGCCAATACAACGTGGCGTCTCTGCCGTCTACACTCTGACAGTAATGAATATTAATGAAGTTGCACAATAGGGCGCGCTGATTGGTTTGAACCAAGCCTTACTCATGCATTAATGCAACACACTGTAAGACGTAATAAGACTCACTCTGGCACAGACGTCCAGTCTGCACTCTGGAATACAACGCTATTATGTCATAGCCGTGACGCAGCTTCAAAAATTCGTTTCAAACCGGAAGTACGAATTTGCTTGAAATAACGCAAAAACAACCAATTTACACTTTTTAGTGAAATATAGGTGTCCTAATAGTGTTTTTAGCAGTGTGGGACACATATACGACTGTCAACAGCTCAAAACATGTGTTTTGGTGTTTCGTGAACCTTTAATGTACGAGAAGCTAAAACCTGCTCATTCAAAGGGAAAACCGATGAACGTGCAACAACTTTAATCATAAGGTAAACACAAAACAAAAAGTTTTCATCTGGAGCTCTTTCACAAGACTTGACACTTTTAAACGATCGATCCAACAGACTTGCGGCTCTCAGCACTGACTACACTCATCACCGCTACCAAGCCGACCAGTCACAGAGCTTGCGCTACACGTTGCTGTGAAGCATAGTTACATTTTTTGATAGGTGCACGTCAGCGTCAGCCACAACGATAGCTATGCGACCACACGGACCATACGCATGTGCTTGATGCAGAAGTATAAATCAGCCTTCAGCCTGTGGCATTTGTTTTACCGGCGAATGCCCTTCCTGCTTCAACCCAGCCCTGAGAGTACAACCCCCAATACTGCCATTCCACACGCTCTGCCAGTCACACACTGGTCAATTTAGTTTATCCAATTAACCAATACTGCATCAATTTGGACAGTGGAGAAATCAAATATTGTAATATTGTTACAAAAAAATTACAAAAACAAACAAAATCTAAATTAAAAATGAAAACAATTATGTAATCTACACTCCGAAATAAAGGTACAAAAACGGGGAGATAACTTTTTGAAGGGGATTAAAGACTTTTTGGTGAAAAACCTGTTCACTTTAAGTACTAATAAGATAAGATAAGTGCTAGGTGCGACACTGTGGCTCACTGGTTAGCTCTGTCGCCTCACGGCAAGAAGGTTGCTGGATTGAGCGCTGGCTGGGTCAGTTGGTGTGTCTGTGTGGAGTTTGCATGTTTTCCCCATGTTGGCGTGGATTTCCAAGACATGCGATATAGGTGATTTCAATTAGCGAAATTGTCCAGAGGGTATGTGTATAAATGTGAGAAAGTATCGGTGTTTCCCAGTACTGGGTTGCAGCTGGAAGGGCATCCACTGTGAAAACATATGCTGGATAAATTGGTGGTTAATTTTACTGTGGTGACCCCTGATGAATAAAGGGACTAAGCCAACTAAAAATAAATGAATGAGTACTAATATACTTTACGATTCCAACATGGATCTTTTAGATACTAATGCACACTTTGATCACATTATGTATCAGATTATAATCAGATTGTCACTTTCTTGCCTTAAACCAATTGCTGCATTGCTGATCATGATTTTGTGGATTGATTGATTTGTCCTTTTAAACATGCAGCAATACAAGATCAATTAATCCAAATATTTTACTCTGATTTGCAACCTTGAAGAACCAAATTTGCCAACAACCACCATACACCCCCCCCCCCCCCCAAACCCACCCATACACACACACACACACACACACACACACACACACACAAAAACTAATTTGTTAAAAGACCCAGGATATGCCAAATCATCTTTGATCAATTAAGCAATGTACAAAGAACATACCGCTGCTGTTTATCCACTGAATAACATGGATAACTTCTCAACTGAAATTATGTGAAAAGCACAGCATGAATCCTTCAGTCACAGATAACATTGACACTCTTGCAACTATGAAAATTTTAATATCCGCTTTAAAGGCTTGCTTGATTGGTACCCAAACACATTTTACTTGTGGTACTTTTTCCAAAATCCAAGTTTTTTTTTTTTTTATAAAAGACAATATATCAGTACTTGATATGGTTATAAACATCATATAATCATTTGTTTAAATGTTTGATTGTTCACATTTTTGTGATTTCCTAAATGAACTAGTAACATTAACAAGGAAACAATATTACACATAATATATGTTGAGTAAATTATGTAATGTGATACTGTGTACTTTTTTGTTTATTTAAATAAACTAAAGAAGAGTAAAGGACAACTTTCATTTTTGACTGGACTACTCCTTTAATGTCTGTCTTTTTCTGTTAAATGACATCAGAGTGTTTTGTTGGGAGACAGAGCACTAGGGTAAAGGTTTCAAATGGCTTCCTGATAACACACATGATGACATTTAGAGAGCATTAAAAATTCATTTGATCCTCTCTAAAAAGAAAGACTGCCCATACTGTGTGTGTGTGTGTTTGTGTGTGTGTGTGTGTGTGCGTGTGTGCATGTGTGTTTCAGATCCAATGAATGAGTAATGCAAGTGGAGTGTTTGAGAGTGTAACCCTTGCAGGCTTTGCCTGACATCTCATAGTTCCATCATGATTCATACTTTGTATACATACAAACAAACAATCAGCATTACACTGAAGTCTACGCTGATTCTTACAATCATATACATTAAAGGTGGCACTTTCTTTATAATAAAATTTCACACATTAAATTGAATAATACGATTTTCAATTCTTTGAGTCAAGTTTTCTTATAATATGAAGATTCATAAAGGATTGAAATGGCATTATGAGTAAATGAAAAATATACACTAATATTTAGCACTATATACTGTTTTGCTTCTGCAAAACTTTAGTTTGCACTCGTTGCCAAACACCCTTAAGTGTAATTGTATTGTTTAAAAAAATATCTTTTACTTATATTTATTATTTTTAGATTATATGAGTAATTTTATTTATTTTAATTTCCTTTTAAAATTCTACTTTTTGTATTAATAGTATATGTTAGGCACTGAGGGTCTTAGTTACGCAATTTTGACTTTCTGTATGTCCTGTACACATGGTTAAATTGACAATAAAGCTGACTTTGGCTTTATATACAGTTGAAGTCAGAATTATTAACCCCCTTTTGATTTTTTTTTATTCTTTTTAAATATTTCCCAAATGGTATTTAAAAGAGCAAGGAAATTTTCACAGTACGTCTGATAATATTTTTTCTTCAGGAAAAAGTCTTATTTGTTTTATTTCGACAAATATAAAAGCAGTTTAACATTTTTTTTTTTATTATTTTTGGGACAAAATTATTAGCCCCTTTAAGCTATTTTTTTTCGATAGTGTACAGAACAAATCATCGTTATAGAATAACTTGCCTAATTACCCTTACCTGCCTAGTTCACCTTATTAACCTAGTTTAGCCTTTAAATGTCACTTTAAGCTGTAGAAGTGTCTTGAAAAACAGCTAGTCAAATATTATTTACTGTCATCATGGCAAAGATAAAATAAATCAGTTATTAGAAATAGGTTTTTAAAAATATTATGCTTAGAAATGTGTTGAAACAATCTTCCCTCCATTAAACAGAAATTGGGGAAAAAAAAATAAACGGGTGATAATAATTCAGGGGGGCTAATAATTCTGACTTCAACTGTGTGTATATATATATATATATATATATATATATATATATATATATATATATAAAGACACATGTTTCAATGCGTCTAAACACTCACACAACTCGCATACACTCTTTCTTCGGGTAATTCCCTTCTTTTATCAGAGGTTGCCATAAGGCACCATTTTCATTGAAACAATACATGTTTAAACAATGCATTGCTCTAAAAATTGTATCCAGCCATATTAACAATAGTAATCCTTTTAAAATACAGTTTGACCTTTACTAAACCATCTTTGCCTTTTTCCATTGTACTTCATAAATCATTAATTTGATAATCATAACCACATCAAACAATGTAAGACAAAAGCAATTATATTCCATTGTAGTCTGAAAAAGACAAGGAATAACAATTGTGGTAAAACTTTAAAGTGCACTTATTATAGTATTTTAATGAAATATGATATGTAACTAACCCTAAACCTAACCCACATTCTACCATTAATCTTATAATAAGTGCATGTAATTAATTAATATTGCTCAGTAGTCCAGTGAACGGCTTCACTTCAAATAAAGTGTAACCAAAATTGCAAATTGTCTAATTCTATTTAATTGGAATTTTACCATGTTAAAAGTATAGCATAATATTATGCGTGTGATTATGTACATATGCGTCACCTTTTCCAATGAGAACTCCAATCTTGGAATCTAGGAGGCGCTCTGCACGTCCACAATTACGTGTGATCAGTTTGAGAACAGGCAGGAATGGTCGCACATCACATAGTCGCCTGGTCTCATCCTCCAGCTCCTCGTGCACTGCTGCCTGGTTCACGCATTCGAACATGTGACCCTCCATCTCCCCCAGCAATGAGAAGAGAGGATATGTCTGCGCCTCCTTCCATAATAGCTACACAAATGCAAAAACAAAATGATACATATGAATTCTCTTTAAATCATAAATAAATAAAATCAAATAAGCATCCGTAATATATATTCTGTTTATACCACATACGCACCAGTTTGATGTGTTGGATGGTACTCTCGCGAGGGACTTCCATCTGGATGTAGATTCCAGTGGGCAACAGGAAGTCCACCATAACCTGGTCGTCTCCATCTAACCCCGACTCCGCCCACAAGTCCAGCTGATCTGTCTTTGCGGGAGGCATGGCAGAGAACACACTGAAGCCAAACCATGGGAACCTCGACACAAATCAAAACAAACTCAAATTAGCTACAAAATAAAGCAAACAACTGAAGTAGAAAGGCCTCTATTCTTGCAGCTACTCAGGCAATTTGTGATTGGCCATTGGAACTATTTAAATTAAAAGCATTAAGTAATGACATCAAATGTGCACTGTCATGTCTTATCTGCATGCGTGGCAGAGAGGAGCAGAAGCAGGACCATCGCTAGTGGCTTGAAAGGTGGTGACAATTATAGGGACCCCACAGCCCAGGGGGCCCCACAAAATATAGTACCATGCTATAGTTACACTATGCAGGCCCCTGTTCTGTAAATATTTCTAATATTGATTTTAGTTATGCCAGGGAACAAAACCACAGAAACAATTCAATTTGATAAAATAAAAATTTCCAAATGTTTGCCTTTTACCCCTCCACATAAATGGCTCAGTCTGATATCCAGGCAAAATTCTGAAATTTTCTGTGACTGGGAATTTCAATGACTATGCTTTGGGGCTATACATGAATGTTCACAAGTTTTCTGTTCTGTTGTAAAGCGTCCCTGAAATTCTAAGCACATTCACATTCAGCTGTCTTGTATAACAAAAGTTTTGTTTTTCAACAAAATAATAGATTTTAACTCAGATTTTTACGGACTAGCTCCACGAGAAAAATTTTGACTACTTGAGGTCAATTTCTTGATTTATTTGACAAATCTACATCTCAAGAGCAATCCAGTGACCCCTCTGAGGTTTAAGCTATACATCCTCACTAGTTTTGATTGTATGTTTTGTGACTATGATGTGTGTGTCTTTTTTCTTTGTTTATTTTGTCTCTTCTTTGTTGTTTTCTTTTATATTGTCTTTTGTTTGTCTAAAATACGAGCCAATGTTTGTTCTTGTTCAGTGTGTGTGTGTGTGTGTGTGTGTGTGTGTGTGTATATATATATATATATATATATATATATATATATATATATATATATATATATATATATATATATATATATATATATAAATGCTTAAAATAAAGTAATTAAAAAAAACAACAAAATAAAAGATTTTAGCATCATTCGATGTAAATTTTTGTAAAACATTTTTAAAAATTGTGTCATTGTGATATGTTATGTTTAATGACCCATTTCATTGAGTAAGCAATGATTTCCATTTCTCTTGGATAACGTCAAAATAAAAGTTGTTCCATTTAAAACACTGCTAACAAAAAAATTATAATAATATAAAGCCTATAACCGGCCATTATGCAAAATATATATATTGTTTTATTAGGAAAATATGAAAGAGAGAATATATGTAAGGTACTGTCAAAATAATTGATTACTTCCAGTTTAAGCACTGCTCCTTTAGGGAAGGATTTCCACCCCTTTTATATCAAACAAATTTTTTGGCCCACGAACCCCCCTTTATATTTTTTTAAATAAAATATCAGAAAAAAAGTCTAATAATAAGTTGATGACCAATGAAATTTCAGGTGAGTGTGGATTTGACCTGTCCTCTGGAGGCAAAAAAGCCATTTTTGTTACCATAGCAAGCTTGAGCACACTGCTAGCAAAATATAAGATAGATTTAACTTTTTAGCATATTAAAATCTAAAAATCTTTACAGTACATTACAAATATGTGTGATGTGTATGGATATGTTAAGAAGCATATTTGCTTGAGAAAAGACACTTTTTGTTATTGTCTATATACTAAAATAAAAGTTTTTCATTTGTTGCCTTAGGGCACAGGTGTCAAACTCAGTTCCAAAAGGGCCGCAGCTCTGCACAGTTTAGTTCCAACCCTAATTAAACACACCTGATCAAACTAATTGAGTCCTTCAGGCTTGTTTGAAACCTACAGGTAAGTGTGTTGGAGCAGGGTTGGAACTAAACTGTGCAGGGCTTCGGCCCTCCTGGAATTGAGTTTGACACCCCTGCCTTAGGGCAACATTGTGCAGTTAGACGACTGTTGTAAAAACAATAACACATATATATATATATATATATATATATATATATATATATATATATATATATATATATGTTTTACTGTAAACTATTGCTCACAGGAAATTGATGAGGTAGAGAACAAGATTGATCAGTTAGGCTCATTCCTTCCGACAGCGAGCTTAAAGAGTCTCATTAGCTCTCTCTCCATTCAAAGATGCGAATAAAACTTGCAAAAAAATCCCAAGACGGCACTCATACTAAGTTGAAGACAGAAATAGACAGGAAATATAAGTGATCGACCCGAGAAAACTTCAGCCACGCACAACCTACAAGACATGACAGGACTAGTGTCTAGACTGCCACCAAAACAAGAATTAACAAGACTAAAGTGGCAGAATCCTGACATCCACTTTATAATCAAATCAATTAAATTATGATTCCTGTAACATTAATCAAACTATTTAAATTATGCCAACTTTTATTAGAATGTATTCAAAATAATGAAATTATTCCAACTATTATTAGAACCATTATTATATTTTAATTATTCCAATAAAGTATTATAATTATATTATTTTGAATAAACTATAAATAAAAATACAATCATTATATAATATTGTAATCTTTGATAATTTATTATATTAATAAACTATCACTGTAAACATTTCAATTTTACTTTAGCCTCATACAGTACTACACTGTGTGTTTCTCCCATGTGTGTGTGTGTGTGTGTGTGTGTGTGTGTGTGTGTGTGTGTGTGTGTGTCAGTTGATAAGAAAGAAATTTACTAAGCATTAGAACTATCCGTGAAAGATCATCATATCACGTAGAATTATATCACACATACGGACCACATAACTGATGGGTGTTACCATTTATATGGTAATATATATGGTGTTCGGTGATAAAGAAAAAAAAAACTGTCGGATCATTGTTAATTATTAGATGACACCTTTCAGGAAGATAGAACCATAAATGGTTGTTTTTCCTAATGGTGAATGATGATAAGAATGTACTGGAATATCATATAGCTGACAGTGGGGGTGTTTAAATTAATTGTTTCTTCGAAGCACCGCGATGCAGACGCGGACAATTCGGTATCGGTACAGTAACAGATCCTAACCGGTTATTATGTACTTGTCATGATCACCAGCAATCTAACCACCAGATGTCACTGGTAAACACTCACACACATAGGACTACAAATCTGCTTGTAAATGGACTACATATTCAGTCATGCCACACACACACACACACATCTGCTATAGTGACACTATTTCACTGCCATAGAGAAAGCTGCAGTAAATTCAATTTCTCTTTCACTCTCTCTTGACCTGCTGGTGTGACGTTTCCTCTTCTCTCCGTTGTTAAAGCTATACTTGTGAATTCAGACATGAGCATGTCTGCAGAGCAAGTTTTCTCCACCACGTCTATCATGGATCAGCTGAGATCGGCGCTGCCGTTTATCAGTGTCACTCATCGGTGAACAGTGCCAGCGCATTAGAGCTAATCGCGGATCTTTCTGTGGAGCCAATCAAAGACGTTTAACAACTCACTCGACAACGTCCCAAAAGCAACCAGGATAATATTTACATTTTTGTTCATTTGCTTTCAATGCTCATGTTGTTCTGTGCATGTCTTTAAGTTTTGTTTGATGCAGAGTGTTTTCTTTGAGCAGGTAAAATTAAAGGAACAGGTCATATATCTGACTGCTTGTATTAAAAGACAAAATTGTATTACAAATACACAGGCTTAAATTTTTTTTTTAAAATTATATATTTTAATATAAGAATTCTTGTGCTGTAAAGTAAAATATAAAATTGTGTATGAAACGCATTGTCATTGCACCATAATGCACAAAAATATCAAATTGAACCGAATCAATGGCATAATAATCGCAATTGTAACTGAACCATGAGACCAATGTAGGTCACACCTCAAGATGACAGAGTTTGGGTTTGCCATCTCCAGGTTCTTTCTATGTATATATAGCGTGAGTAATAGTCTGACTATTATATCTTAGTCATGGAAGACTTTAAAGTAATCCCTATTAATCCTGGTCAAATTTGGACCAATGAGGTTAATACTGGAATAATACCTCCTGATGAACATCATGATCGTGTCATCATGTATAAAATCCTGCTCCTGATCCAGTGGCGAGATGCCGACATGCTGCATGACATTTTTGTCTCCATAGACTAGTTGTTTAAATGATGTGACTTGAATGATCGATATAAAAAAATAAGTTTAGCTGTTTCACACGCAGAGGATTCCCAGATGTCTCCGCCCATATACTAAATGCACAAATACCCCTAGTCACATGCTGACCACCACAATAATACATACATGTCTCAACATTTCTCTTCAGAATTTTCTGGTCTGGTTGTTGAATTTAAGTTACATTGCATCTACACGGCAACAAATTCTGATTAGATTATAAGTAGACTGTTAGGTTGGAGTTTGGGTTGGGGTTAGGATAAGTTGACATGTACTTGCAAAGTTTGTTATAGTCAGTTAAACGGCTGTTGAACATCTGTATCAACAGATATTAAGCAGACAGTCTATTAATACTCAAATGGAGCATCAAAATAAAGTGATACCCCAAGTTTTCCCCATAATCAGACCACCTCCATCAGACAATGAACCAAAAAACTGGCTGAATAAATTTTGCACCAAATCTGGATATCGAAACCTGACATTTCTGGGTTTGATGTTCTGAGACGGCTGTTTCAGCAGTTCTGGATTTAAGATCATAAAAACTGATCACCATGCTCATGCAGCACATCATTAATGCTCAACTGAAAAAAAGAGTGTAAACTGATTTTTAATTCTCCGTCAAGCGCACGCAATTGGTCCGGTGCAGCCTTTGCGTGGTTGCATATACTGTCACGCACCCCTCAAAAAATTTAACTACACGTCGCAATGACGTGTATCGCAAGCTTAGTGATTGGTTGGCTTGGTAGTGCTGACGAGTGTGGGTGGGGGTAAAAGCCACGCAAGCCCGATGTAGCAAGAGTTTACAAGTGTCGAGTCCTGTGAAGGAGCTCCAAATATAAACTTTTGTTTTGTGTTTA